GCGTTTTCAAAATTCTCATTTTTCTTGGAAATTTTTTCCGGAAAACGGCCCATTTTTCCGTAACTAAACGCACCCTTAGGGTGCGTTTGGTTGTGGAAAACTGTTTTTATTTTCTATGAAAATGTTTTCAGAAAATAGGGTTGAGTTTTCATTTTTAATTTTCAATGAAAACGCGTTTGGTTGGAACGGGTAGAGTTTTCATTTTCCATCTTAGAAATTTGGAAAACTTTGGAAAACTGTAAAAATCACTTTTCTAATTTACATACAATTTGAAAAACTGAAAATTTTCGTTTTCTTAGAAAACTTTGAAAAATTGAACACGTTTTCAAAATTTCCGTTTTTCTTGAAACGCTTGGTTTTGTGAATTTTTTCTGTTTCACACAGGTTTGAACATGAAATCCGCAAAATACATGTAAGCAAGTAATTAGGATTGTATGCTTTCGTTTCATTCCCGTCGAATTGACCTGAAATCGATGAAGGTTAGTTATAATTTTTTTGTTAATTAATGGATTTGATACCTCGACATTTTGATTTTAGTTTTAAGTTGTTGTATTTGAATTTACTTTGAAGCGCCATCCTTAGATTTCTCGCGTTGATAGCTTAAGCCTTTAGCATTCTTTTACATTTTGTATTTTTGTTTTCCCAAAGTATCAGTTTAATTCTCTTCTATCAGACAGGAAACAGAAACATAGATCCTGTAAGTGACAATTCTTCCAATCTATGCTTCCTTTCTTAAAATCTTATATATTGAGATTACATAAATGAGGTTGAATTTCACATAATTGTGAGCCCTATGTTGGCTGGACAAATCACCACTATGCTTAGCCGGACCAAATCTGATAGCCTTTTGCTATGCACCTGACCTTCATAACATGCATTTAATCTAAATTATACCTGATGTTGGATGTTGAATCGATTTACATGGTCAATTGATAAACTTCTCCTTGCTTTCTGTTCCAATAACAGTTTACAACATCCTTGTCTATAAGGTATGCAATCTTTCCATTTCAGTAATTTATTGTGATTTTGCTTGCTTTCTGTTCCAATAACAGTTTGTATGCTAATTTGTTGATGTGATTAGTCTTTGTTGGAAGTGAGATTCTATTTTACAAAAAAATTATAACATTGCATTCTGATTACAAGCATGAGTTCGACCATACACACTCTTAAACGGATCAGCTTAGTGAAGTCATCCTTACATCATCTCATCTCAGGTCAGGTACAAAGGAAAGTTGAACTAACTGAAAACATATCCAAGTTTTTGTGATTGTATTTTAGAACTCGATTTCTTCACTTATTATTAGGATTTATAAGGTCATAAATTTTGTTTTTTGTAAATTCAAAGTTCAATATCCGTTGTAAGTACTACCCTCTTCTTTAGGGACCACTGGCAGTTGAAGAAGAACAAAAACAGAACCTGGACTGAAATGAGAGGAGAGAGAATCAGATTTTAATAGTAGCTACGAATTATTATTATTATAATATTATACAACATTCTTTGGGTAAGTTATTTATGAATTTTAAATGCATACATTTTTGGTTTCTCTTTTACTGTGATTTTCAATAATCAACAATGCCCTAAACATCCTTAAACATTTAAAGATGAAATTAGGTCAAATCCATATATTTTTTTTGAATTTTGAATTCTAAACAATCACACGCTCCTTTCCGCCGGTCGCGATGATTAAAACAAACAATAAAAATAATAAATTTGACAAGGATGATGTCATACTAATCTTTGCGTTTTCCTTTTTTTTTTCTTTTCTTATTAGGAGATCAAACTATGAAGTCTTTACCCAATTACAAAATTGCACTTTCATTTTGTATGTTGTAACTAATAAAATGAAAGTATGATGCATTCTTTTTGTACTAAAAACATACCGGTAAGTCAATCATGCTCCTCTTTTGTTCTGTTTGTCCACCTTAATTTGTGTATGATTTTGATAGATTATCAAGGAAGCTAGCACCAGCAACACGGAAACCAAAACTTTCATGAAGTAGGGTTCTACCTTCATATTCACTCCAAACATCTGGTAACAATCAACAAGTTGGTTGGATTTTGTTATCTATAAGAAATGTCTGTCTTGTGTTCTATTAATTTTCTTGATGAAATTATTGTTATATATCTTGCAGAGGTTTTATTGGTTGATGCAATTTTGTGTTTCCAGTTGACATCAAGGAAAGGAAATCGGTAACAAAGATACATAAATGATATCTCGAATAGTCTTATATTTGAAGTAAGGTGATCCTCTCCGCTCACTGTATTTGTTGCTTGAACCAACAACAGAATTGTGTCGTTCTGGTTTTTGGAGATACAGTGGTTACTGCTCCGGTATTTGGGGAGGCTGCTTGCCCTGACATTCTAAAATTTTTTGATGCCATGCTGAAGATGAGGTGGGTTGCAATTGCAACACACACATTATGATCTAAAAAAAATAACTTTTCTCACATTAGTCCAAAAGCGGCGGAGCGGCGTGCCCTTTTCTAGTTATTATTAATTTTAATGGTATAATGTATAATTAACCTTTTTTAATTATCATTATTAATTTTAATGGTATAATGTATAATTAACCTTTTTTAATTATTATCATTCTCAATTTTGTCATTATTATTATCAAGTCTGATTAATCAAAGTTTTTATATTTCTTTTACAGCTCATGGATCCAACCGAAATCACAATGATTAATGATCTAGGTCTCTGAAATGACAACTACACAATTAAGGTCCGAATAATCAGGCTTTCGAAACAAACAACTTGGTCGAAACCACATGAGACACGACAAATCGGAATGATTTTAATGGATGAAGAGGTATTTAAACTGAATTGCTTTTAAAATATTTAATGATTTCATATTATCATATAATTAGTTATACCCTATCCATGTTAATCATATAGTTGTTTATTAGTTATTTACTCTTAGCATCCTCCTGATAGGACTATTTTTATTTTATTTTTTTATTTTTTACAAGTCATTTAAGGGAAAAATTTCTATATGACTGTTTTGCCCCTGCTCAAAAAACTAATTTTAACTAATTTTAAACATATAGTTGTTTATTAGTTATTTATTTAAACGTTTTTTGAAGGGCAATAAAATTGAATGCATTGTGGACAAATCATATGTGATACTGGGGCAAGCACTTGAAGAATATGCTGATGTCTACATTCATAAGCCAACACTTGGTTTATATGTTGATGATGTTATGAAGTTCGTTGACACTTAAAACAAATTGTTTTTCCAATATACCACTAGAGTAACCAAGTGCATTGGTTTTAATGGGCCCAAGAATTCTTTCGCTTTTGCAAACTTCCAAGATCTTATCGATAAGGCTATCCCTTCAACTATTTCTTTTGGTAAGTTCATAACGCTGATTTCACATTTTACATCTTATAATATTTGTATATAATTTGTCCATCCTAACACTAATTATATACTAACATCTTCCATCGTGTATCGAAGGGATAGCCAAGTGCATTGGTTTTAATGGGCCCAAGAATTCTTTCGCTTTTGTAAACTTCCAAGATCTTATCGATAAGGCTATCCCTTCAACTATTTCTTTTGGTAAGTTCATAACGCTGATTTCACATTTTACATCTTATAATATTTGTATATAATTTGTCCATCCTAACACTAATTACGCTGAACAAATTGATTCCTATGTATCGAAACACCGGGGGAATTTTGTAATGATTATTCAATGTGCTAAGTAGAAGAATCACCGAGGTCCTTTTATTAATGCATTGTTTTATCTTTACCATTTTCAATATTTATATACGAAATAATTTAATCCAACATTTTTTTCATTTTCTTTTCAGGGCGTGCATATGTGAATAACACATATTTAGCAACAAAGTTATTCATTGATGAGCAAGTTGAAGAAATTATTGATTTCAAAAAAAAGTTTGATTACATTTCAATCAAGTCCTTTATATATTACAAATATATTTTTTATTGATATTATACTTACACTTTATTTGTAAACAGGTTTAATGAAAAAGAAAATAGATCGGCTTCTTCATGTTCTCTTGCTACAACGTCTTCCTTCATGTATCTGTACATGATGACTTTCTGAAAAATAATAATTTCTACCAAATTTCCATGATCTATGAATTAGATGAGATATAATTACATTATTAAATCTTAAATTAGTAATACTTAATTTTCCTAATTCACCATCATTGCTTCTTAATATATAGGGGAGTTATGCCATCATTCTTGGCACAATTAAGATGTTTGAAGATAGTCAGCAATGGTATTACCCACCTTGCAAGAACTGTAAGAGAAAGGTTCAAAAAATTACCCTTGAACAATCCAATGTTTTGGACCATGTGGCTGAGAATGAATCATGGGTATGTACACAAGACATGTGCAAAGGACAAGTCATAGTTGTTGAACCAAGGTATCATAAGAAATTTAATATTCTTTCATTATTGTATTTATCTAATTTGTATTCTTTTACTTGTTTGTTAAATACCTTAGTTTTATGCTCAAAATTCAAGTACAAGGCTTGGTGGGAGTAGTGACACTTACTTTGTTTGAGCGGGATGTTAGAAGTATTCTAAAAATTTATGCATCAGATTTGATAGAAAATTATGAAAAGTTATATATTATAAATCCATAATATAAAATCCATAATTTATTCTAATCATTTCTACATTTTCATTCTAACTTTTGTATAATTTACATTTTTTTTGTAGATGGATAAGAGTGTTGGTTTTCCTGATGAGATTAATGAACTTATTCGTAGAAAAATGGCTTTCAAAATTATAGTTAAAGCTTTACCTCCGGAAGAAAATACATCCGTAGTTACAAAATATCAAAGATAAGTGATAATGTTGACATAATTTTTGTGCTCGAGAAGCTTGAAAAAGCAAACCACATTGAACAGGTTTAACTACAACTAAATCTTAATCCATTTACATATTACGTTTTATATAGCTGATATTTACCAATCTAAAAATACAATTTACAAACTGTTATATAGGACATTGAAACTGAGTCTGTTAATGTCGTGGTCTCAGATTTCAACTCTCAGGATACAATTGGTTTTAAGGTATAATTTCCTGCTTTTATTTTTCTTTTCGCTGTTTTACATTACTCTTTTTCAATCTTTAACATATATTAATTCTTGCATTTAAGGGTTCTGCTTCCGTTGTTGCTGATAATACTCTTATCTCTACTTTTCCAAATATCATTCCAATGAGTCCATCAACCAACCATGACACCACTAGCCTCCTTTCACCAACTACCAATGCGAAAAGTAAACTTGTAGATGTTTACGATCTTGAAGATACTATTTGTGAGTCATCAACAAAACCTTTAAAAAAATTCATTGGAATCAAGGAAAGTGTTGTGTCCACACAACTATTGATTCCTAAAGTCGAGAAGTGAGATCTTATTAACGTTTCAAACAATTTGCCGTTTCTCGTTTTTTATTTAACATTCCAGCCCAACAATAATTTTGAGGTTTTATGGGTTGTCAAGAATACTTTCATTGTTGGTTTCAGAAATTCTGTTTTCTTTCGTTTTATGTTAAGTACGGATTTTGATTTCATTATTAAATGTTGTCATTTACTTAGTTTTAAATTGTTACCGTGTGTATGATAAATATGATGCATCTTTATGTGTGTATGGTTGTTTTGTTATTAATAATTCCAATTCTCAATATATGTCATTTTCATGTAATAATCAAACTTATACATTAAAGTTGTATATAACTAAAAGATAAATGTGCTTAATGCTTCCTGATGTTGGGTTTGGTTTTAACTTTTATAAACATTATTATCATGTTTCAGGTTTGGTTTCTTATGCAAACAGAAAACATAACCAGAAAAGGTAGTGCCCAACTCCAATATCTAAACTAATGGTGAATCCCCAATATGAAAAGTTTAAGACCCTAAAACGTTCATTATATGTACTATGTAGGGGTGTTAGTTTTGAAGTTCCATTTCATCATAAACATCTACTATAATAAATGAAGATAATTTTGTCACATGTCAATCTCTAATTTGTTTTAACACTAGTCATTTTGTGATATTTTTTAATTAAATAAAATCCATATGTCAAAATTTATGGTTTTTTTTCCATTTTTAAAATTAACAAGCCACATAATACTTATACTTATATATGTAAAGTATCAAATGTAATAAATATTATACTAAATTGCAATTAATATGTTTCTTCATTCCTTATTTCAAAATTTTATTTTAAAAAATACTTATTATTTACTTTTTAATATTTTATTTTTTTTAATCAACCCGTATAATACACGAGTTGTACACCTACTGTAGTAGAAAATGAAGAGAGCAAACAAAATTGAGATCATACATATGTATCAAAAGTCAAAACTTAGAAACTTAGGTCCAAGATGGAGTGCAATTGAAAAACATTAACATCCAGCAATACAAATTTTAAGAATTACCTCCAAATTGACATTACTCGTAATCAAATATTCCATCTACAATTCACAAAAGCATTACAATCCGAAAATACAAATTTATGTGGAGATGAATACGTGAAGAAAAATACAATCACCCTTTGAAGATTATCCTCGGTGGGAATATTGGTCGAGATGGTGGCTGCCGGTAGAAGTAGGTCGGTAGGGTTTTTTTGTTGGGGGCTGATTCTTCCACTCCACTTTTTTATATATCCACTGAAATATATATGTGTTTACGATTATGCCCTTTTTAATTATAGTAATCAAAGTAAAAGAAATATCCATCTTTTTTTTTCAAACCTCTTCCACTCCCCTCTTCCTCTCTCTTTCTCTCACATACACTTACAGACATATATCTTTTTGCATTAAGATTGAAATCACTGTAAAAAAGAATACCTCGTTCTCTTATTCGATCAAACAAAAATAACTAGAAATACTCTAAAATTGATCACCTCCTTTACGATTTGAAATGTTATGGGTTTACTTAAGCCATGGATAACCCAGATGAGTTTGTCTGTAAAATCTTTCTCCGATCAACACCACCGTCATGGAGTATCGGCTTCTACAAATCTGATATCAATGGGAAATGGAGCAATGGGAGGGAGTCAAGGGAAAGGGAACAAACCATCAGCTCCACTTACACCATCAAAGATTGGTTTCGATGACGTTCCTATTAGTGGGGTTTTTTCGTTATTAGAATCGTTGTTATGGAAAAGCTGAATCCATTGCTCTTACTTTTCATATCTCTAAACTTGCTCCATTTGCTTCATACGGTCTTTGACAGTGGTGAACGTCATTCAGGTCAACCCCTTTTTCGATTTTAATTTCTCATTCTTTCTCAGTCATATTCTTGTTTGGCTGCTGAATGAAACGATTATTTTGTTGCTTGGTTCACGTTGTAACTATTTCTTGCTTCATTTTTATTGATCATAAAAGGGTATGAATGGAAATTTTTAATCCACTTTTGCTTTTAGAAATTGAGATACTGTTACTTTCTTATTTCAGTTTTCCATGGATTCTAATAGAATTGAATGTAATTAAACATTTAGAATGTATGATTTTGTGGAAGTGAAAAAGTGGTACTCAGAGATGGTTGGGAGTAAAGACTGATACACACACTTCCACATACTAAAAACCTGCAACTCCACATGTTACATGAAAATCCAACTTAGATCTATGTTTATCGCACAGACTGTTGGGTCCATATTTGGCAAAAAAACAGGTATAATTAAAATGAGGGTATAATTGTCATTGAACTTAAATATCAGTGGATGGAAAAAAAGTTTATGTGGAAAAATCAGCGCCCTTTTTTGTTGGTGGGATTAGATGGATGACTTATGAAAATGATGAATTAGGCGTACATTAAAACCGATTTTCCTATTTAAAGGGATATTAACTAATTTAACAAATTTACCATAAATAATTAATAGCTAACATTGTAAAATTACCTTTATTTAAGTTATGTGCATCAATATTTAAACCTCTCTCTATCACTCTCTCTCTTTCTCTTTCTCTCCGTCTCTCCCTCTCTCTCTGTATATATATATATATATATATATATATATATATATATATATATATATATATAT